ACTTGTGGGGGGTGGGGGGGTGGGTCAGGCTTCGGGGCACAGGCTGAGAGCTGCAGCCAGTCAGAGGCCTGCTGTGTAACAGACTTGCGATTTGTCCTTGGTGTTGAGAGAGCATGGCAGGGACGGCCTTCAGAAGAAAAGGCTGTGAGCATCATCAGACTGATCAAACAGGCTTTTATTCAGCTTAGTCGTGTTATTTTGTTGACTTGTGGTGCCAAACCCCGAGTGCAGGAACAAACTGTTTTCGCGTTTCATGTTCTGCTCAGTGAAATGATTTACACTGAATCACTGTGGCCAACAAAATGTCAGCGTGTGTGAGAGGAGTCAAGCTGGTCATGGTGTGTTTGTGTGTTTCCTCCTGCAGTCATGTGAAATCTGCCAGGAGCCGTTTGAGACGTACTGGGTGGAGGAGGAAGAGGACTGGTTCCTGAAAAACGCCATCAGGGTTGATGACAAGGTACAACAGCTACACAACTGGCAGACACTCGTTTCTATTTCCGCTCCTCTGTCAGGTTCAGACCTGAACCGGTCCACCGACCAGCGGTACACACTCAGCCTGAGGTCATGTGACCTGAACAGAAGAGACCTTTAGAAACTGAAGGCGCCGACTGTGGGAAGCTTTTAACAATGTTTTCATGTATTTTATTGAGGAATAAAATGTCCAGTAAAGCTGTAGTGATCTGCTGATCGACTAATCAGCTGGAAGATATTCAGCAGCCATTTGGCTCATAGCTTAACAAGGTGAATTGTTTTGAGTCATAATCCCCAAATTCTCTGCTTCAGTTTGTTGAGTGTACCCAACAAACTGGGGTGACAGACTATTTGTTTTGAATCCGTAATCGGATACAGTAAGACACTGGAAAATGTCGTCTTTGTATGAAGCCATTTTATGGACTAGAAGATTCTGAAGGAAATTGCAGATTAAAGAGGATGGAAACGATTTCAGCCCCAGTCAGGTTCCAGATCATCTGCCGTTTTGGGGTTTGACTTCAGTGCCTCATAGTCCAGTGACATGGGATTGACATGGTCTGCTGCCAGTCAAAGGTTTTGTTGTCATTTTGTCTGCAGTGTTTGACTGACCTGTTTCTTTGCACAGAACTTCCATCCCTCCTGTTTTGAAGACTATAAAAATGTAAGTACCTCAGCAGCTCACAGTATAAATGTGAACAGTGATGAAAGCTTCAGGTGTGTGAGCTGCTTCTCTTGTCTCCTCAGACGTCGTCGTACCTTGACATCACGCCGTCGCCCAACAAGGTGCTGGCCGAGCACCCGCTGAGCGCCTTTGTAAAGACAGAAGAAGAGAGCACTTCCTGTAACATGGCCAGTTCTTTAGACAAAGAGGAGGCGGAGTGTGAGGGCGGCGAGCATCCTGAGGTGAAAACAGAAGAAGAGCAGCAGGTTGAACCAGACCAAGTGAAGTCAGAAGAAGACAAACTGTGACCACACTGCTCCTGCACCTTCTCACTCTCGGGAAAGGAGATAGTTTTAGCGTGCGGCGGGGGCCGGGTCCTCAACAGTGCACGCCTCAATACATTTTTGTATTTGGATTCTGTGCGGCCATTTCAGGTCTGTCTGTAAATAAAAACTGAACTGGAAGTGTTTATTAAAAAGCAAAGAGATGTTTTGTTTCATGTGGCTATGAGCTGTACATGATTTAATTTATAAATTAAAGTATTTTTGGTATTTCTGGTGTAACTGATTTGAATCAACAGCTCCTGTCATTGGCTATAAATAGTTGATGGGTTGAGTGACAGCTAGCTACAGGTGAGGAGTTATTTGTGGCTGCGTTCAAGGTAAGCATCAGATTGTACGACTGAAGGCTCCACTGCTCTTCGGGATCTGACTCGACGCTTGCTTCGTTTTTCTTTCAGCTTCAATAAAAGTCTAAAACTTATGTTTGTGTGAATTGTGATTGGCTCACTAATGCTCAGTTTTATTGTCATTTAGGTTGAAGAGTAAAAATAAAGGTTCATTGGGTTTCAACATCCTGTTGTCTGGTTTCATTTTGTTACTGGTTTGTTTTCCAAGCCTTTGAAGTCGTATGGGTCAGCAGTACTTTTAACAGTATTTTTACACTGTGGTATTAGTACTTAAGGGATTTGAGTACTACTTGTGAATTCCTAGAAGGACTGTAGCACAAAGTATTGTACTAATAAATATGTTTGGACAAATGCTGGAGGGACTGTGATAAGGTACAAGATGCCTTTAAACTTAGTTCATTTAACTGTGGAGTACATGGTGTAGGCATAACAAGCTGAAGCTTCAGCCTTGTCTTCAAACTGTAGAGATGACTGTGATGTCACTAGAGGTGGAAGGTGAAAGTACTAGTGTACTGCATTGAAAGTGTTAAAAGTACAGAAGTACTACCAGATATCAACCTGGGCAACAACCCAGAACCATTTTCAGAGTAAGGTGGCACTGAGCGTCAGTAAACAGGATCGTGGTCACTTTGTTCTGCTTTTGGCAGCTAACAGAGGAACAGACCGTAAATAAGATCAGACAGGTTTATTGGTTTTGTTAATACATTTTATGTTGGCCTTCTCACAATTGTAACGGTACATCTATAGTGTTACACACAAGCATCTGCAGCATGTCGTGGTCACTTGGTTACAAGGCCCAGAGAGCCTCTCAGTCTGAGGCTTACACCCGCTGTTTCTCTCTTCCTTATTTGATACAGGGAATCAACAGCGTGTCTCGATCAGGTTCAGCTTATTAGTGGCCGACTGAGTCTCCACACACTTCGATTCTTCTTTAACACTGGCCCAGTCTGAGCATGAGTCAGACGTTTCCAAACCTGCGGGTTTTGTGTCGCAGGTGTCCATACGGTCTCTGCGCCGACATGGACCCTTCACCTCCACAGCCGGTACAGCCCCAGAGCAATGGCGAGGCAGGTGAACACCGTCGCTGAGTGGGAACCCAGGAGAGAGAAGACCTTCAGCCACAAACCTCCCACACACCATGAATATTGTTATCACTGATTGTGTCTACAAGTAGCTCTGCTCTAATGCTGCCACATCCCAGACCTTGTGTGTCCACAGCAGTGTGAACAGACCAAACCAGGTGTCCTCAGACCAGATCTGAGCCACCTGCGTATGCGCTCCTAAAGCCAATTCCTATCCAATCTGTAAAGCTGTGTGTACACCACAGCTACATGTTTGATATGTGTGTGAGAGTCACACTCATGGCTGTGAAGCACCAACACAAAAAGGTCAGATCTGAGCGCTAAGGCCTGCGATGTGGCTCCAGCCCTGCTCTGTGCTTACACCAGTGGCCTGGGTCCAGTTGAGTCTGGTTACCTGCTAGGTAGCGGGCTGTGTCCAGTTTCAGAGACTCCAGGAGAGTTTTGAGCGAGGCCACCTGTAGGTCAATCTTCTTGTTGATCTCTATGTTGTCGTTTTCAAGGTCAGCTTTCTGACAACACAGGGCACATCCAAAACAACTAATCACACCTCACCCTGCAAAGCTACAAATAAATACAGAGGTCGTGGACACATGGTGTCACCTGGAAACTTTGCCCCTTCATCCAGTGGTTTAATATGGCAGTAGCCTATTGTAGTGTCATCCGGTGGGTTTACCTTGTGATGGAAGTCCGTGCTGACCTCCATCAGCCTCTTGTCCTGTTCAGTAAACTGACAGAACAACACACAGTTACCTGCAGGAACAAACACAACCTGTGTCCTACAAGCAGCAGAACAAGCTGTGATCAGCTCGGTCTCTTCTCTAAACCTGGACATTAAACAAACTCAGAGGCTTGTTTGTCTCTCCTAGATTATACTGGCCCTTCAACACGTCGCCTCACACTCACCATGTCCGAGATCCTGCTTCTCTCCAGGTTGATGTCCAACTTGGTTTCTGCTCGGACTTTCTGACTCTCCTCCTAAACAGAAATACATCCCTGAATGCATTACAACACATTCGCGGTTCTCTGGAAAGATGTGAAATGTTCCGCATTGCTTCAGGTCGTCTTCACTCTGCCCAGACCCCCGAGAGCAGAGACCAGACTCAGGCTCCACATCCATGGAGCCACTTGTGTCTTCATACGTCTCCTCCTCTCAGCTCTTGTAGCACAACTTTGAACAGTTCTTTCATTTGAGTTTTACCATTTTATGCTGCTTTTTTACAGTGTAATTAGGTTTTTCTTTCATATCAACATACTTGTATGTAGAGGTAATAAGCTTGTGTTCTCTCTTTGCACATTAGGTTTTGTCTTTACCAAACAGTGAAAACAAACACTGACACTTCTCACCTGCAGTCGGTTTTGTAGCTGCTCCAGCTCTTGCTTCATTTTCTGCAGGAAGCAGAGACAAGCCATCCGGTGAGTTTAATAAGGTTTTGGTGAAATCTGTGGAAAACTGAGTCTTCACAGCTGCAAGTTTCCTGCCAACACTACTTCACTTACTGCACATTGTACTATAGTAAATCAGATCCCTGCAGAGAACAGGTGTGAATTACTGCAAAGACACAAACAACTACAGAAACACACAACACAATGACAAAGAGGCAGTGTAAAGGCCACTAAGACTCCTGTCCGGCATTACAGCCCGTTTCTCCAGGTGGATCCGACCCTGTCTGCACCAGCTGTTGACTTGCTGTGTGTGAACGGTTGTTACGCCTCGGACCTGGTCAGGTGTCTGCTCCTTGTCCAACCTGTGTGACCTCCCCACCCTCTGCCACCACCCTCACTTTCCTGTTTGTCACCTCCTGTGTTGTCACGTACCTGGCAGTGGCAGCTCACCTCTGACCTCTGCTAAAGCTAATTTAAATGAGAACGACTGATTCCCTGATTCACTTCTGTTGCATTTGGGTCCAAAACCATGGCAATCAGTCACTGCAGCGTAATATGAAGGACTGGACATAAATGATAACAGTAGCTTCAGCCAGTCTTCACCTGTCGGACACATTGTGCTCTAGGTTTACCTTGGTGCGGATACAACTGCCCTTGTTGCCCATCAGAAGCACTGATCACAAATCAATGTGAGGGAACATGTGATCACGTACTAAGTTTTCAGAGCGGAGGTTGGCGAACTCGCTCTTCTCCAGGATCACCATGTCCTTCCTGATGGAGTCCAGGTGCGCCATGATCTGCTGCAGGACGATCTCCTGTAACAACAGCACAGCAGGAGAGTTTCCACCTGCACACACAGGTACCACTCTGGAGGAAGTGTAGCATCCTACCTGGTGCGATTTGGTCACCATGTCTTTATAAACGATGTCCATGTTGGCTGTGGTCAGAGTGACCAGAGCAGACACGATCAGCTCTGCCTGACGCTTCTCGAATCCTGAGCAACAGGAAACAAATACTGCTGTGAGAAACTGACGACTCAGTTATAGACGTGTTTTTCATCCTGTTTTTGACATTTGGTCAAATTGAAAGTAAAGCTGCAAAACTTTATGGATCAGTTGATTTATGGATTAGACCAGCTCGGTCTGCTGCTGGAAGATACCATCTTAGATGAAAGTGGAATGAGGAAAGATAAAGTGAATTGGTATCTTCCAGCTTCTGACTGGCTGAACACACCTGAGCCAGGTAATCAGCAACAGATCAGGCAGGGATAGTTGGAAAACAAGCAGGACAGCGGCCCTTGAGGACTTGGCCACCCCTACTTTACAGCATCCACACAATCACTAGCTGCAGCCCGAGTTATCAGCAGCAGCAGACTGAGCAGTGAACAGCTCCTGTGTGGACGTCCACACAGCTGCCACTGGGTCAAGCCACTGGATCAATGGGACACTGAGGGAAACCTAGAAACAGGAGGAGTCTCAGGCAGCTTCTGCAGCCTCTGTTCCTCTGGTTTCTCTCTGGGTTCATGGAGGTTTGTTGTGGAGGGACATCAGAGGTGGCGAGATGCTCGGGAGGTGGACATCACACCGAGTCAGACCAACGTGTTTCTGTGTGTTCACACTGACTCGGGACCAGTTTGGACTTTAATCCACCTCGCTCAGTGTCTTTGCCTCCCCTCAGGAGACTTTAGTCTCTGTCCTGCTGCAGGACCGGGTCTGGCATCCTGCTGACCAGGTTAAAACATCCTCTTTTATTCTGAGTGTGTTTCCTTACCGCTGCTCTCCAGCTCTGTCACCATGTTGTGGGAGTCGAAGGTGAGTTTTCGCTGCTCCAGAGGCGTCAGGTCGACTTTCCTCAGGTCAAAGTTCATCACAGGTGCTGTCACATGGAAACCTGCCACACACACGGGTACACATTTATCTGCTTTTGGAGTCTTTTACAAAATTTAAGGAATAGCGTGAAATTTAAAGTTGCTGCCTCTGCTGCACTATGCATACTGTACTTTAGCTGTACCCCACCACTGTTATGGTTAAAGTTGGGTGCAGTTACTTTTTGTCTCGTGCCATTTCAGAGCTGCTTATTCTTCGTGGGTAACTTTCTCTCACCTCTCCAGGTTCCCAACCGCCGGAGGTGACACCGCCACAGCAGCGCGTTCATCCCGGAAGCTGCTGTATTTCTCGCGTCGGGTTTTAAAAAAGGGAACAGGGTCCAACTCGTGTCAAAACAAAACGCTGGAGTGTTAGATCACTACCTGGAGACTGAGTGCAGACCGACCGTCCTCATTCCTTTTACTGCCTTGCGGAATGTTGAATGTTGATGATTTGGGGTCGCTATAAACAAACACGTCATGGAGGTAGTCAGAGACAAATCACGAGACAGCGCCCCCTACTGGTGAACATTTACTCAGTACTACTGTACTTCTGTGCATTTCCGAGGTACTTTATACAGTATGTGTATTTCCCATTTTATAAATACTTCAACTGCACTACATTCACTAACCACCTTTTACCCCTACAAAGCTGTTTTAAGAGTTTATCCATATTTATTTATTCTACGCATTACAGAAAATCAATTTTTTTTACCAGCAATTTTAAACTGATGAACAAATTAATGCATCATTAATTACAGGCCATTATGCGTAATAAGTAGCCTACTGGTGCTTGTCCATTGACATTCTGTTTATAGAGTCGATGTGGTAACATAGTCTATTTTAATGCTAAAAGTTAAGGTACAAAAGTAACTGTACTATTTATTATTACTTTTACCTCAGTAACAGATGGTAGTATTTGTTCCACGCAAAAAGAGTAGTCGTTTGTGTCTCTGCAGGTATCAGAACTACCAAAAATAACACGGAACGGGAATCCATTGTGGAGACTGTCCACCGCGGCGGTATCAATAAAGTTGTGCTTACAAAATTAACGACTTGGTGTCATGGCGGCGCCTGTGGCAGACAGTCAGAACTGGTTTCCAGTGTTAGCACTGGGAGTTTCTCTCCTTAAATGTCTATTCATCAATGCCTAGTGAGTGGAAATATTTTGATGCGGACTAGTTTCATTCTGTGGTGCAGCGTCAGGACGATAGTGTCGTGGATAGGTGGTAATTTAGCCTGTTAGCATCCGGTTAACTGCTACAAGCCAGAAACATAACTTTAAATTAACGAACGTTAAATATTAATGTTAAGGAAGTTGTTTAAGCATTAATTTTAGGCGAGCCTGTGGAAAACAATCTATGTGTGTAGCGTTTATATTTTAATTTATGTGAAGTGAGGGGGGGTTGCTATAACATTAACTCGACGTGTTAATATCTGTCGAACCGGTTTATGTAGCCAAACAGCCTCAAGATGGCGCCATTTTTAGTTTGACGATCGTTTCAAAATTAATTTGCGAAGTTTCTCACTGGTTAGCAATTAGCTAACTATGTCGTCCTGAAATATTTCTGGTTAAGGTTTTAAATTGTTATATCTTTGTTCGTCTAAAGGGTTAGGTCCGCAGAAACATACTTGAGTAGAACCGAACTTGTCAGAAAAATCGTTTCATTTGAGGCTATTTCCCTTAAACTTGTGTTAATGAAGATTTAGCACAAATTCTGATAAATCAAGTAAAAAAACCTGTTGTCTTCCTGCTTAACCGACACTATCAAAGCGTAACGTGACATTTTTCTTGTTTAACGTACAGCGCACGGTTACTTTATCAGGTTATATGTGTCAGGTATCGAACACTGAACGCGATGTGATAGCGGCCGGAACATTAGTACTGTATCATGATCAAGGTCAAAGATTTTTATTGTCAATTCACTATATGTGCAGGACATACAGAAAAATCGAAAAACTGTTTCTCTCTCTCACCTAATGTTGAGTGCCCATACTATTTAAGAAACTAAAATAGAATAAAAGTAGAATAGATAGAAAATGAAACTGAATTCAAGTAATAAGGATAAACTAAATGGTACATACAACTTAATAGGCAATGATGAAACTCAAAGCCATATGCAAACAGTGACAGCACAAATAATAAGAAGGTTGTCAGGTGGTCAGCATCACCAGGGGAATTGGTGATGAGATGCCGGCTGCCTGACTGCCACAGCCGACTCCAGCTGTCGTGACCTAGTGTCAGAAACATGGCAGGAGGGGCGAAAAGGAGCGGGATACTGCTTGAGTTTGTTTGGACTCTCACTTTGCCCTTAATGGTCAAAAAGTAGAGGGACAAGTTATTTAATGCCGCTTTAATTTCCAGTTATAAATACAACAAAGTAGGTTATCAGAGTCAGTAGCCTAATAACTACAACATTCATCCCATCAAGCACCTCCACAGCCTTGTATTGTATGGTTACATTTTTACCTTGGTTATTAGTCAACCTATAACACTTTGGCCATGGCACTTATACTAAATGATTATCATCTTTGTCTTTTTCTTATATGTGCTTTAAATTAGATGTCGTTCATTTAGCAGTTTGCAAGTGAAGACTTGAGTCAGTAGTTCCTACTTGACATTAATACAATTACAGGAGCAGCCACACAGTCGGTACATTTCTGGTTTTATTTAGTGTTGTTAGGTCACTGCTGGTAAGCACTCCCAAAATTATTTCATGTGGTTACCAGTGAGTGTACATTAAAATGGCAGTTTTCTCTGTGGAGTTTGGTTTGAGTGACCTGTTGTCTATATGCTGTTGTCTGTCAGTCGTTCCACAGACTTTGAGGTGCACAGGAACTGGTTGGCCATCACACACAGTCTGCCGGTGTCCAGGTGGTACTATGAGGTCAGTGTGTCAGAGGAGGCGCTTGGTCAGACATCTGTAGGATGAACTGGAACTGAGGTCCCTGCTAATCCAATGTCTGGTGGAGCGACTGAAACCAGATGAGTGCAGGCTCATCTGGTTTCAGTCATTCTTATGCTCTACTGTCACATAGGAGAGATGAGGAAACACCCGCCAGGACTGAAACTGATGACTGTTTTTATCTGTTTATAATCTGTCACTGGTGGAAGAAGTACTCAGATCCTTTACTGAAGTAAACATAGAAATTCCATAGAAACGATGAAGGTAAAAAATGATGGCGTTTTGTAGTTTTGCTCTAATCCCTGTATTTTCCCTTGCAGAACACATCCGAGTGGACCCTGGACTACCCTCCGCTGTTCGCCTGGTTCGAGTTTGGTCTTTCCCATGTGGCTCAGCACTTTGACAGAAGCATGCTGGTGGTGGAGAACCTGAACTATGCCAGCCCGTCCACTGTGCTCTTCCAGAGGCTGTCAGTGATTTTCACAGATGTGGTTTTTATCTACGCTACCAGAGAGTGAGTCCAGAGTCTGAGTGCAGCCTTCAGGCTGTGTCATCTCTTATTCCACCTCCATCGATCCCATAGGCAGAGCAGTGTTGTTGTCTACAGGGGCAGGCAGGGGTGGTATGGACACAGGGCCCCTGATGTGGAGCTGAACTTAGTTCAGTATTTTAGACACTTATTTCCATGTGTCACTGGTGTCAGTGCGATTACAGCGGCTTCACTGTATTAGGCTAAAATCACGTTAAAAGACAACCTTTCTCAGAAATGAACTAACACTGGAACTAATGTGTTCCAGTGCACCCAATTTCAAGTTGCTTGTTCTTGATTGGCTGTATCCTCCTCCAGGTGCTGCAGGTGTGTTCAGGAGCAGAAACGCTCTCGGGACAATCTGCACCGGCCGTCCTTCATCCTGGCTGTTCTGCTGCTCTGGAACTTTGGCCTCCTCATTGTCGACCGTATCCTTCAGCTGACAAGAGGCTGATTTAGTTGCGGTGATGCAAACTGGTTTATTGGTTTAAACCTTAAAATTGGTTTAAACCTTAAAGGTCTGGAGTTTGGACCTCTGGTTGCTTTTTTTCCTATGAGTGGGTCCTACGTGCACGTTGTTCACATTCCGGCCAGCGGCTTCACAGCTTCCCACCGATCTGTAGCTGGAAGTAATGTGGCGGTATACAGCACTGCCCCAGCAAAGACAGGAAAGAGAAAGTAGGCTGTAAACCTCAGTACAAATAAGGCTGAATTTACATCAACAGTTTGTTTACAAGAAAACTCTGCAGAATAGCTTTAGGTGTTGTTTGTGTTTCAAGCCCCGTCCAGAGACCAGCAGCACCAGTGAACGTGGTGTCCTCACTGTAATGTGGGTGAGTCCAGACCCTGGTTCAGCTCATTGCTCTGTGCCATAGACCTCCACTGTTGTCCACCAGCTATTAACCCCCCCGCCCCCTGCCAGTGAGCCACGCTGCTGCACTGGGGGGCAGGTTTCTTCCTCAGGGAATACAGGAGGCCGTCTTTTTCCAGCACACAGCTCCAAGATGTTGTTCCTGTTCTCAGCAAAGAGAGTAACACCTGAAAATTAATTGAGTTAATCAGCATCATTCAGGTTATAAAGCTGCAGCTTTGAACTTACAGATTTCACACTGACATTCACTTTGTGCATTTTGATTCTTATTAAATTCAAAATAACACCTGGACATTTCTGTCTGTGTTGGTGTGAGTTAACCAGTTGACTAGTATCAGTGATCACATTAACCTCATCATGATGACAGCAATGAAACTTCCTTCACATCTTCCCCTCAGACATTCACTTCCAGTACAACGGCTTCCTGTTTGGTTTCCTGCTGCTGTCGGTTGCAAAACACCTGCAGGTACAAACATGAATCTAACATAACGCTAACATTGGACAGGCTCTGAATGTGTGACAGTCAATTCAGTTCATTTCTGGTTTTGCGTTGGACAGTCTCAGCACCTGAAGGGGGCACTGCTTTTCTCCATCCTGCTCAACCTGAAGCACATCTACCTGTACGTGGCTCCGGCCTACGGCATCTACCTGCTGAGGAGTCACTGCTTCGCTCAGAATAACAAAGGTCCGACACACACCTGACAACAAACGCATATACTCGTAGGTTTGTGATGCTCCCTGCTCTGTCAGCACCCTGAGCCATGATCTGCCAAACCGAGACCTGGTCCAGAGGCAGCAAACGTGTGAATTTACTGGAAGTTTTGTCGGTAACAACAGTGGCTGTGTGTGTCTGTGCAGATGGTTCTGTCAGGTGGAGGAGCTTCAGTCCACTCCGTCTGCTGGCTCTGGGCAGCATCGTGGCCTCTGTCTTCGCTCTGTCCTTCGGCCCGTTCATTGCAATGGTGGGTGGAGTCTTTCTCTGTCTCCGTTCATTCAGTTAGACACTGCCGAACCCCAACTCATCCTGATAAGGTTACAGTGTACATAGGTTTGGCTAATACACAGCAGTGAGTCTGCCGTGAACAGCAGGAAATTAGGATGTGTGCAGAACTGTTGCTGAGGATTATGGGAAGGAGTGAACAGCAGGAAATCCGGATGTGTGTAGAACTGTTGCTGAGGATTATGGGAAGGTGAATGCAGGTGCTTTATACAAAGTGTTAACTCACAACAGAGGAGTTGAAGGAAGCATTCCCTCAAAAATAAACATTCAGTCTGGTCAGCTTCATGTTGCCACTTCACAGGAAATGTGCCCTACTGTAGGTTTGGGGTCTGTTGCCAGTGCTCACTTCCTGATGTTGTGTTTCAGGGTCAGCTCCCTCAGGTCTTGTCCCGACTCTTCCCCTTTAAGCGGGGCCTCTGCCATGCCTACTGGGCCCCCAACATTTGGGCCCTGTACAACCTGCTGGACAAAGGCCTGGTCATGCTTGGTGAGACTCCGCTTCCTGTGAAGGTCACTGTACTTTGAGCCAAAAACTTGGTTTCAGTAACTGTGTCCTTTTTATAGACTGGATGCTCCAGTATGTGCCACGGTGAAGACAACGTATTAAATAGGACATTGGATGCTGTGTGAATCTTAAAGTTTTTTTTCTTTCATGGCCAACCAGATCCAACAGGTCATCTTTGTGACGTAGTGACTGATGATGTTGGCAGTGTTTGTCTGAGCAGTAGAAGTTGAATCACTTGGTTCTTTTTCTGTTAAGAAATTTCTGTTGCTCAGTCCAGAAAAAGCCCCTTTCATTCTCTGAAATGGTTCGATTTATTTGTTACAGATCCAGGTACTGAATAACATCTGCTTAATGAATAATCATGAGTTCTTTGCAAAACTTAGATATTACTGGTGGAAAGTAATTCAGTACATTTACTCGGTACAGAAATGCAGTTCTTAGGTATCTGTATTTTACCTCAGTATTTCCATGTCCTGCCACTTCATACTGTGACTTCACTCCATGTCAGACAAACCGTGTACTTTTTACGGCACTCCGTGTACCTGATAACTTCAGTTCCTTTCCAGAATCAGATGGATCAAACCAAACACAGTAGAATCATCAGACTCTATTGGTCCTGGTGGAAAATCCACCAGCTACCCAGTAGGATGGAAAGTACTTCACAGTATAAGTATATAAGGTAGTTAACATCAGCTCCACCTTTACCAGCTGCAGCATTAAAGTGATGGACACAGTAACGCATCAGTCACTATGATCCAGTAGTATCAGAGACATTACTGGGACACAGGCCGTTCTGCAGGACAAGTACTGGTACTGTTGGTACTATAAGTACATTTTGCTGATAATACTTTTGTACTTAAATAACGTTTTGAATGCAGGACTTGTAACAGAGTATTTTTATACTGTGGTCTGAGTACTTCTTCTACCACTGTTCCATAGTGTGCACAGTACTTTGTTTCAGTGATATTTTACATTACAGGTATGAACACTTCGTTCATGTAAGAATTATTCCTGGTTTAATATCTTAAGGGACGTGTCACTGTTGTTGGGGAAACTTATTTGCCAAAGTTTTCTAGATGTTGGGCAATAGGAATTACTTAATACAACTCCATTTATGGTTTCTGCTCTTAACATGAGTGAAACACAACGGCACAGCATTGTTTTTCTCAGACACGTCATCTTTTGTTCTGGCCTCTGTGGTGTTGAATGAATGTTACTGTGCTGTATGTCTTTTTTTTTCCCCTAGGTGTCCGTCTGAGGCTGCTGGAGGAGGCAGGACTTCATCGAGCCACCATGACAGGCGGGTTAGTTCAGGAGATGCAGCACTCGGTCCTCCCTTCCATTTCCCCCACTGTCACACTCGTCTGCACTCTGCTCTCCATCCTGGTGAGCCGCAGCCAACTGTAACAGAGCTGGGTTAGCTGTTTAAATTTTGTTTGTTTAGTACGGATGTCTCTGTTCCTCAGCAGTCCAGTCTAATAAACACATGGCAGCAGCAGATGTTGAACAGCTGCAGAGACTAAATCTGACCTTACTCTTCATGAGCTACTTGATCCACTATAAAAAGTGACGGCCAGTCTTAGTCTTTGCACAATGGACATGTTTTTTAATTAAATGTATATTTGTCTTTCACACATCTCACGCAGCAGAACTCTATCAAACGTGTCAGTGCACACTGAGATCGCCGACGGTTTTTAGGCTTCAGGTCCGTTTGTTCCTGTCTGCATCGTGTAGTGAAGCCTTATCTCCACAGATGGTGTTATGTTCTGTTGCAACCTTTTTACTGCTGACTGTTGAGATGATCAGCACAATAGATGAATACATGCCTAAAGTATATGTATGCTGTGATAATTTATGGGCATCCATTCAAGTTCTTCCAGTTTCATCAGGAACATCAATTAACTTCAGACAGTTAAACTTTGTTTTCATCCCTCTTTCTCTGACTCCGCTTCTCTGTAGCCAGCCATGACGTCCATCTGGCGGTGCCCTCGTGGTGCTCGGGGTTTCCTGCGCTGCCTGCTGCTCTGCGCTCTGGGCTCCTTCGTGTTTGGCTGGCACGTCCATGAGAAGGCCATCCTCATTGCCATCCTGCCTCTCAGGTGACGCTCCCCCTCATGTTGTTTTCAGCAGCACATCGACTCCAGTACTGTTTTTGGCCTGTGAGCCACATTGTTGTGCACAGCATTGAGAATAAGGAAACAAAATGAAAAAGTTGCTCACTTTTCTGGGTTTTTTTGTCCACAACACCACGTTTACTGAAGTGAAGCTTGGTGGTATTTTGTTCCGACTCCAGTACTGTTCTTGGCCTGTGAGCCGCATTGTTGTGCACAGCCTTGAGAATAAGGAAACAAAATGAAAAAGTTGCTCACTTTTCTGGGTTTTTTTGTCCACAACACCACGTTTACTGAAGTGAAGCTTGGTGGTATTTTGTTCATTGTGGTCGTGTGGTGAAAAAGGTGTGGAGGTTTTACCACTGGGACATGCGACCTCTCTGCAAAGTAAAAACCAGCTGTGTGCAGTGATTTGTGGATCCTCAGTACAAGCAGGAGGCGTGGAGCTTCCAACCAGTGTGTGTGGTTGTGTGAAGTGAGTCTGGTACGGACCAAAAGAAACCTAAGTAGGCGCTACCAAGGACACAATGTCCCATGGCTGGCATGGGGTATTTCAGGACAAATTTGAAGTACTAGAACTTTACCTACTTGTGGTAGGTACTTTGTATTTGTGCTACATTTATTTGAGTGATCAAGTTCCCAGTTACTGTACAAATGAAGCTTTTGGTATAGTTTATAAACTTACAGATGAAAGCACTTAACAGGAGTGGGAAGTAACTAAGTTACAGTATTTAAGTACAATTTTA